ATAGACTTCCTCGGCAGAATTATTTCCTACATATATTCATACGTCCATCGGCGGAAGTTAATCTCCGCGATGGATGCTGTTGTTCGTCGCCGTTTGTTGAGTTCATGTATACGTAGCTGTTCTTATATTTCTTTATTGACCGTTGCAACTTCTGCTATTGCGTATGCGTGTCCGTTTTCGAATATGTCGTATACATTAAAAGTTTTCATATTAACTTGGCAACAGTTTTGTTTCATTTTTTAGCGTGTGTAAAGGTTAGGCACGGTGCCCATGTGTACCAATGACTTAACTTCGAATAGATACCTACCTACATGCAAAAATTGCGAAAATAACCTCGGTCTGGTTGAATTTTGTATTCAGCGCGGATAGCTATACCGATCAACTGGAAGGTGCAGTTCGAATAGCCTTTGCGCCATGCAGCAGCACGGTGCTAGAATCCCTTCACTTATACGGCCACGAGCATTTGTACCGGTACAGGTCACTTGAAAAGAACCCTGCTAGCAATGATAGTGCAAAGCGTACCGATACTAGTACACTCATCACCGCGCACACCCATCATCACGATACAGACCGAGGCGTTAGCCACGATGACTTGAGCGACAAAGGTGCGTGGCAATGGGCCATGGCTGTGCTCGATATTTTGTTAGCCATCCACTGCACATTACTAAAATCGAAAACGGGGCACGCAGTCTCTGGCAACTCACCTGTTTCACTTGCCAATGCCCGCGCCACCGTCGAGTCGTTTGATGTAACGAAGCGCAGTGATCCTAATGCTGTACAGTTCGGTGCGAATTCGGCAAATGACAACGGGAACGGAGATAACCGGGAAAGTGCACTTAAACAGTCCAGTGTGATGCCGAAATCATTTATTGAAGAGATCACGAGCGACACTACAAGTATGTCTCAGCCAGGGGCGTCGATACCGCGCACCAAGCTGCTTATAGAAGAGATATCAAGCGATAAGACGCCCGTTAAACGGCCTGATGCCGCTCCACCATCACATGCTACAGATAATAAGGACGCGGGCGCACTCAGCTTGAGTCAAAGTATGTCAGTGCGTAAGGCCATACGAGTGCTTGTATACGCCGTATTGGTGCCTCTTTTGGACTCCGAGTTGGCTACGAGCCTTCAGCATTACCTGCCACAAACTGTCGCGGAGGTTGCCTTGCATAAAAAACGTACGAGTAAAAAGGAGCAGCAAAAGGCCAGTGCCAGAGCCAGGCCTTTGACCAGTCCGGTATATAATTTTTTGTATCTACTGGCCGCTAAACACGAAAGTGGCAACTGGATTGCGCGAACTGGCCGTGAAGAAAAACTAGCTGTGGTTGTAAAGAGAATAGCGGTGTGGCTGGGTGCAAAGCAAGGAGACACAACTGAGGTGACATATTTAACTGCTATGCATTTTGCATATCCTGTGCTGTTGTCAGCCCTTCAACTCGCATATGGTGGTGCTGATCCTACCAGCACTAGTTCGAAAGACGATTGTATTGGACTAGACACCACTACTGCAGATCGATCAGACGATTTAAATCCACGGATTAAAATTGGACAAAAACGCAAACAGGATTTTGCCCACCTGCTCGTAGTACTGCGCCACAGAATGCCTCTCAATGTGGTTATGGAGGCGTTTGCACAACTTTTGGCTCTGCGCGACTTACCATCCAGCCTGCAACCTGTGTGTTCTCGCATACTCACGAAATGTCTTATGATGCAAAATGGCGTGCTATGCTTGTTGACCCACCTACTAAGCTCCTGTGAGACTGTCAGCGATGTTACTGCGGCGGCCACTCAGACAATGCGACTAGTTATCAATTGTCCACGTTGGATGGCCAAATCGAAGGATGCCTATTATGCAAATATTTGCACCCAATTATATCATCTGCTACACCTGCGATCAAGCGATAGCTCTGTACTCAATTCTGTTAGTAACATAAGTCGGCGTCTCCCCCACGCTGTGATGATACTCATCCATGGGATGATACTGAAACACCCAATACTGGCGAGGAAACACCTTATTAGCAGAATGTGTGCCGCATTTGATGTCCGCTTTGTTGAGGCTGGCTCGGAGCCGTACAGGCCTACACTCTCGGGCACACAGAGCACGCCTTCCTGGGTGTCAGAGCTTAGGATACCTGTCTCTGATATTTGGCAGTGTATCAATCAAGATGCGCATACCGAGGAAGTGGGCAGCAGCGTAAATACAGCCTTTATCACCACGTGGGACCCAATAGTCATAGAGCAAGCGATACAATTTGCAGTTGAGGATATGCACAAAGTGTTTGTCGCTGGACTATCAGCTAGTGGAGACTTGAACGGTAGGGAGAAAAGTGACATGTTAGGGGCGGTGCGGTCGTACATCCCTATTCTGTTGGCACTTTTCTCCTTCACTGCGGAATATCCCGGAGTGTCACTGAGCACAGCAGTTAATGAGTTGGTGGGTAAAATTCTGAGTGCTATTGATGAAGACGATGCTGTAGAAGCCTTGTTCACGTTTCTCGATCCTGGTGCACGCCCTGACACAGCAGATGTTGAGAGCAAGCAGGACGTACATACCACATTCGAGCTTATGAGTGGGTCTCGTAATGGAGTTTCGTATCGATGGATGCCGCAGACCGAGAGGAACTTCGCACACGATTGTCAGTGCGTGATCAATCTATTGGGCACACTCAAACGCACTGCACTCGCTGGGGAGTTCTTCGTGCGTCTGGTGGAAGCACTGGGCCAAGTGGCTGACGAAACAGACGAAGCCGGACGTGACATAGCAGCTGCAAGCACAGGTGTGGATTGTTCGTTTAAAATTATTGTTTCAAGTCCAGTACACGTGTGCACGAATAATCAGATTTTAAGTATGATCCAAAAATGAACTTTGTTGGCATGTCACCGTGAGTCGCTATATTCTGCGTGTTTCGGAGTGTTAGCAAGTATATATATTCGATTTCATTCCACCCTCTCTCGAACAGATTATCCAGCAGACTCATTGATATGCATCTATATATTTTTTAATTGTATCTCTCCTTATAGGCAATTTTCTACATGGCGGAGGTGGACTATCTGATGCCGAAATAGACCGGAAGAGAAGCTATTTATTGTTGTCGCAGTGTCTTGGGCAACTTGTACAAAGCCTGGATGTGTCAGTGATCAAACGAACCCGTCACGTGATAGTATTTGCGAAGGTACGGCCATTATGTTGTATGCGATGAGGTGTATTCTCACTATGGTGGTCATACATTCTATGAACCCAAGCCTGGGCTCATCGCACGCATGATATGCTTCCACTGTGAACAACTCTGAAAATTTCATATATTTGTGACTCGTCAATTTTCTCAATTTTAAACGCATCATGCAGCTGTTGGCCACTAGCGCAGATGATGAAACTACTTGCATGGCGCTAGGACTGCTGACAACAATACTTACTGGAAATGCCGTCACGGTCAGTAAGGATGATGAGGCCGACATTGCAGAGTTGCGTGGTTGGTTGGAACCGTTTGCCAATCACCCGAATGAGGAAATTGCAGAGATTGCATTAGATCTCATCACAAATATACAGACGAGAAATCCTCTCTGGCAAGAGTTGCAGGAGCAGACCACCAACATCCAGACCGTCGATCACCACAACAGTACAAAACCTGAAGGTAAGGGCCTGGTGGTTTGGCTTTCAGAATCACAAAAGCAAACCTGATAACGCGGATCACAAGAAATCGTGTCATTTTATATTAATGACCTTGTTTGCTTCCCCCCTTTTTAGTTTCAATCGACGCTAGTGGGAGTGGGAGTTCGTCGCAAAAGGCGCAGATTACGGATATCGGCAACGAGACAAAGTCATTGGACAACGACATGGGTCTTTTACCTCCGAGCAAAAATGCAAACTCTGGTACCAATGATGACGCGCAGCCCAGTGCTGCATTGGTGACAGAGTACGAATCATTTTCCACTGCAATGCTTCAACTCAAAGATCCCATGCTGCCAGTTAGGGCACATGCTCTAGTGCTCTTGCGCAGATTGCTGGAGAGAAGGGACGAGTCAGTAAGAGGAAAGGAACAGGTGAGACCAAGGCAAATTGCTTAGCTTGAGAAGGATTTTATTTTCAAGCCTGACAGTACATATCTTTTTCCTTAATGAATACGATTCCTTTTGCAGGTTATCCTAGACATCCTTGTAACGCAAATTCGCCAACTGGACAGCTATATATACTTGGTAGGTAAATGGAGTGAGTCGTGAATACATTGTATGCAGCTAAGACAATTTTGCAATATATTCGTAACCTTGGCTCCTCATCTGCTTTGTTTGAGCTCAACATATCGATAGCTTATTGTCATCAAGTCGTATCAGACTCCGATTTGAAGTCATATCGCTGGAAGTAGCATATGCATCTCGATCTTATTGCAGAAATTGATTGCGATGGGCATTGTAATCGATTAAGTCGCATACTAGTGTGGCGCTTGAAAATGGAAAATGAACAATTGCCTCTCAGACCAATTCTATATCTCATGCTCAGGCGGCGATACAAGGTTTAGTTGTATTATGTCTCGAAGACCCCCTGCATATGATTCCAGCTCTGTGCGAGAAATTTCTCGATTCGGATAAGAAACTGGGCGAGAGTGTACAGGCTAAGTTGGGTGAAGTGCTGTACGGAATTGTTGAGGCTGGCCATGCGCAGATCACAACGCCTTCGGATAATGGTGATCTATCAGAAGATGCGCAGCAGAAGAACGCCACCTCATTTGTTGATCCCAACGCGATTCGGCCTCAACTATCTAAGGCTCACATAAATGTTATCGTTGATGCGATGTTGAAGGTAGCGAACACTTTTCAACCGTCAAATGCGACGACAGATCCTGAAATGAACAACTCAGACCGACAGGAAGCAAAAAACAACCTTGGTAGGGGTGAAGGGCAATCGGATGCAGATTTAATACAGGAGGGCATGGTCATATCCAGTTCCTTGGCTATACTTGCTCGTGTCTGTGAGTTGCGATGTGACGTCGTCGCCCCTCGCGTCACGGAATTCATCGGATGCGTGACCAAGGTAATGTCGACCTACTCAGATACCAGCCGGCTCGAGAGAATAGGCCAGGACGGTACTGCCGATGTGCAAATGGTGACCGTACTGTCCTCGACACAGAATGATGACGATGACGAGTTTAACACGGATGCCACAGACGACGTTCTGAATGAGACTGACCTGCCAGCAGACGTCCGATTCCCTGGTATGAAAGTACATGATACCGATGACGCTGATGAGGATCTGAATGCTGCCGATTCAGAGCACAATGAAGAGGGGGTTAGCCAGAAGATGGTGGTTGACCCATGTCTACTTGTCAGGAGAGGAGCGATGAATCTAGCGACCATGATTTTCCGTGGATTTGATCCATATTTCTTCGCGTATGTCTGTTCCTCAACAAATGTTGGATGATGTAACTTGGTTTAATTGTATGTTTATGGGTTGTATCATGGGCCTAATATGGGAGTACTGAGTCACTGAAAGGTACGTTTTGCTGTACATTCCTCAGGCCGAAAACTAAGACCTCATTAACATCCTTCTTGTCTTCCTCTTTTCATACTTCTATAGCTTGATGGCACCTTCGTTGCCGCCGCTCATCACCTTGCTCGGTAAGGTCGGGACTGATGATGCTGACATCATCACACGAACCCACGCACAAGTGGCGTTGGATGATGCAAACGAGCTCTTCAAGTCGTGGGCTGCATTAGCAGGGTTCACTCCGTCCCAGCCCAGCGACACCAACCGGTCCGTACCTCACCCTAAAATTCTTCAGTGATATGTCGAAGTGGAGAAAGGACCAAATTACTGTTTGCATGCTAAGCACTTCGTGCGCAGAATGTGTCATCTCGAATGCGGCGTCAGGTAAGGTCACCGCCGCTGTTTCTTTGTCATAATCATCAGGGATCGCGCCAATTCGGCAACCTCGCAACTCGCATAGGGTGTAGAAGACAACGGGGTTCGCAGATAGCTGTAGAATAAAGCTCACAGGCACCGTACTCTAGTATCGACATGCGCAACTAGTCTCGGCAAATTATAATATTTCTTATACGGTTGTCAGACCTTGAGGCCGCATTTGTCTTCGAGCAACCTTTGAAGCAGTCTGTCAGATTGCCTTGCAGATTTTTGGAGCCGTGGAAGACAGTTCGGACGACTAAGATACACGTCATCTGCATTCAAATACTCGGGATGAAATTCCAGATGTGGACCCATCAGAAGAACTTTGCCACTGTCCCCGTTGGTGGTTGGCTCATCCGTGCGAGCGAATATGATTGCCGCCGAGCCCTTGTAGGCTGGCTGTATTTGTTCAGAGTCTGCATGGAAATGTCATGACAGAAACGGATTAGCTTGCGTCTATGCTTAACGCTGCAATATCATGAAACCTGGAGCGACCAGATGGTGTCATGATTTGACTCCCAATACAAGCATCTAGTCAGGCAGAAAGTGCAGTTTCTTTTCGACATCGTTATAGACAACGGAACGTGCGCATTACAAATAATGTCTAAACTATCGTTCTCATTTGACCAAATGCCTCTCGTGTTTGCTCGTATGTGGGCAGTCCAAACGCACAATTCGCGAGTGGCAGTGAGGCTATATCAACAAAACTATATCCACGTAGTTATTGTACTTCCTGACAGTGCCAAGAAGCATAAAATCTTACCGTAACGTGCCAGGACCTCGTAGCTTTTAGGGATACTGCGATTGAGATTGGTTCGGTCTGTATCCTCATCACCTGCGTCGGAGGGCGATGCAACCAGAAAGGCACCTCCCCCGTTCACGTACACAAACGCACTGGAATAGTTACAAATGATAGGAGACGCCAGTGTGAATAAAAATCGATCTTACCTAATCTACGGGTCGATGGATCTATTTGTCGACGACAAATACTTGCTTATTTGGCTTATATTCTTTTGAACAGGCTAAATCATGTGCTCGTGTTCATTAGAATGATGTCATAAGCTCGCACTCGTCAAACTGATAGCTCGATATCAATCACCTCAAGCATGGAAATGCCCAATACAATAAAATACGATCGCATACCTCTGGTCGCTTTCTGGCGTATTCTCTCTCGCACCTTTCTCATCGCGTTCGCCATCGCCCTCAGTCCACGTGATCTTGACGGCCCTTGCTCCCTTCTCGCTAGAATAGTCATACTCGCCTACCACCGGACCGACACAGTCTCCGGTGAAGAACTTCAAAGGTCGATTCCCAACCACTTCTAACGCACCCCCTTCGTCAAACAGGACTCGTCCACAGGCCATGTAAGCTCCGGCACAAACTCCGATATACACACCGCCGGCGTGCACATAGGATCTAATTATTTCGATACCGTCCGGTTTCGCTTTACCATCAGAAACCTCAGCGCCGCATTGCGTAGCGCTGAGCTCGCGCAAATAACCCAAGTCAGCACCACCTCCGATGACTAGCGCTGCAGCATCGTCCCTCCACGCACCTAAGCATAATTCTTCTGGAGATATTGATTTGATACTGTATTCAGTTGTATCACATACGCGCGCAAAAGTGCGCAACAGCAGCTCGACCCCAAGTTTAGAAGTGGAATCCGACGAATATATATACACTGTTTCGAGCGGTATTGGTCGTACGGATGCAAAGCTGCTATCTACCAGGACTACTTCACGTAAGCAGAGTCTCTGCTGATTTGTCGCCGATTTTACCTCAGAGTGTGCACGATAGTTAATAGTCTTCGACTCGCAGTCCTCGCCTCCGCAATTCTCATTGCATCTTTCCATTTTAAGTTGTCCTGTAACTGAATCAATACCCCTCGCCATACCTTCGCGTTCCATGCCATTCTTAAACCTCACCCTGATTTTTCTGCCCACAAGCAAGTCAAACGAGCTGTAGTGCAAAGCAATAACATCGTGCAATCGTAATGTCCATAGGGGCTCAAATTCATTACATAGTTCTGCAAGAAATATCTCTCTGCTTACGTCATTCACCCTGGTCGGGAGTATATATCCCAAGCCGGTTGCCAAATTAGTCATATTAAGCATGTTCTCCACTATCTCGTTGCAGCCATATGCGAAAGACATACTTTGGATCAGATTAACTCCTATGCCAACGTAAAATACCACCGAGTCCCCATCTTCCTTGTCACGCTTTGTATTGCTACAATCAGCTTCTACTAAGATACCACATATCTTCTTCCCACTAACCCATATGTCATTAGGCCACTTTATTAGAGCGTTGGCGCCCATTTTCCGCAGTACCGCAACCACTGCAGCAGCTGCAGCAAATTGTAAAGAGCACAGATCGGCCTCCGAGAATACAGCGTCTGCTTATAGAACGAGGTGTGAAAGCAGAATGTTGTCATCAAATCCAAAATACAACCCCCCGAAAGCACGACGAAATACTCTTTCTCAACAAAAGTGGCGAGGAAGAAAATAGTCTTGAAAGTAATCTCACCATGAATGACTAGTTCTTAGGCCTCCTGTAGGCTTATAAATGAAGCATGAACTTGAAAAACAAAATATATCAGAAGCGAACTGCCATAGCAATGCGCACAGTGGAAACCGGATGATAAGACCATCGTCAGTATGCTGCACGCGCTCTAGTTAAGCTCAAAAAAGACAACAATTACCTTGGACGGGTTTCTTGATGATAAGAGTCGTGTAAAGATTTCCTTCGATAGAAGATCGCCACTGCTTTCCATTCCGCCCACGTCCGCTGGACATGGTATCAGCAACGCAAAGGTGGCCATGACATCTTCCGCCAGACATAGATCCACTTGCGACATCTCTCGCCATCTCCATAGTAGACGTGCTGCAGCGTGCACTTGTTAGTTGACGCCCCAGTTGTTCTGTGCGTAGCTGTGCAGTGTGGTATCGATATTTACGTTGAGATTCTACACATAAATGAATAGTTTAGTAACATGAAATAGCAAGCAACAACGACAGAACATGTGCGCTCTTGAAAAAAGGGGTTTGGAAATGGGCTCGTGCATACCGTCGTCAAGAATAGAGATTTGTTGAAGGTGCCCGGAGCAAGATCTACGGAAGGCTGTGCATCGTGGGTCACAAACCCCTGATCAGTCGTCGTTTTAGGGGTTGCATATGCTTGTTTAGTGCCATCAATCACAAATTTGGGAAGATTGTTCTTCATCTCGTTCTCGCCCGTGCGATGTATGTGTGTTACAACGCCGGTCTTGTCCGCCAGAATCCGAACCGTTGTCTTCACGAGCTCTGTTTGATACAGCACCTGACCTATAGCTACATGATCGCCTATGGCTACAGGCCGGGTCCGATCCGACTCAGCGACAGAGGTGATGGGTATATGCTCGCTTGTACCACTTAGATCTCCTATGAGTGATATGGGTGCAGGGAGTGCCTCACCACTGTCCTCGAGAGCTGACAGATACCCTTTTGAAGTGAAGGCGATTTGCTCAAAAAAGCTCCCATTGGTTCGAAATTCACGCGCCATAACTTTTGTCGATGTATCTGAGTACAGGTGTGTAAAGGAAGGGGTGGTATTTAGAACACGTATTCGAACCTTTACATCTTAGAAGCGCTTTTTGCTTCCACACTAAGATGATAACAAAACAAATCGCGCCTTTTCTCTCTCCCTCTCTCCTGCCTGACACACAGATAGAAGCGAAAATGCATAAAAGAGCATCTGGCCACCAGAACATTGAAGAATGCAACTCAACCGGCCGGCACAACGATTTTATCTTGAATGATAAGTTGCTACATTTACATAACCCAGTGTGCACAAGAGGTACAAAAGGTTCCTTGATGTTACCGAACCACGTGAGAGAGAAAAATCTACCTGCAGCTTCATGAATTTTATTGCCGCCCCAGACCGCTTCATCGGAGTAGACATGCATCAATGCGTGGGATTTACGTAGGATGACCTCAAGATCTTGTATCCTGTTCTTGGAGAAGGCCATAAGCATTTCATCTGAAAGCCTATATGTTCATAAAATTGAAAACGAAATTTGATGAATAAAAGTTTTTGTGGTGTGTGATGAACTTCACTGCTGTGCACGTGGTTGGCAGTATTGACATTCACCAAAAACTACTTAAACGACACCACTTTGCAACACGCTGATCGGAAAAACTGTCTTACCCGTTTTTCTCTTTTGCCTTGCTAGATATTGTCTGCGCCAAAAGATAAGCATCATCCAATCCCGAATTCAATCCCTGACCCAGGAAAGGAGGCATAGCATGTGCCGCGTCTCCTACTAAGATGACCCCATTTTGCGCAATGCTTTCGCATACAACAGTGTGCAATGACCCGAATTGTGTGCTTTCAATCAATCCCATCGGCCCGACCGAGAGGTCTGCTAGTTCAGGCGCGCATGTTATCATGTCCTAAATGTGTGTGTTCAGCAAAGTATCAGTATGGTGGCAGTCATTGCTTTAATCGTGCAAAAGCTGTAAATTGCAAATACAAAGCGGACCACTCCATACCAAAAAAAAAGGTGTAAAAAAGTCTCAAAATCAAGAGAAAAAAACTAACCTGGTTCAATGTAGAGGCCGAGACTGTTTCAAGGTACGAGAGTGGCGCGTATACACCTATGTGTGTGTCAGTTCTTTCCTTAACCGGTAGCAGCATCAACAAGATCCCCTTTACACCACACCATATTTGCAGATGATTTCGATAAGTGCTTCCAGCTTGAAGTTTGCCGGCTAAGACTACCTCCCTGTACCCAACATCGTGCGTATAAACAACAGACGGTCTTGCACCTGTCCGGCGACTACAAATATCCTTTATATCTACTTTGCTGCGCTTTCCGGTTTCGTTGCTGACATTGTGAGCTGATCTCGTCGTGTTCAAATTGGGATAGCCTCCGCTGACTATCGTGACATGCTGATGGGTCTGAGCATACTTGGAGGCTTGTGTGTTCCGTAAGTGTTTGGTACCCCATAGGCACCCGCGGACTCGTGAATGCACTCCATCTGCTCCTACCAACAAAGTGATTCCTTCTACTACGCGTGTGGCAGAGTAAGATTTCGTGGGTGTGGCTGTTGACTCACTTACTTCAAATATTGCGGACATGGTTCGATGCCTGGGCTGTGGGTGTGAATCGCTTGCAGAAGAATGTACATCGTTAGCCGCAAACGCCGCGTCCTCTTGCGCGCATATAAATTTAGATCCGTATACAATATCAATGCCTTTCATCTCCACACGTCGACGTAATATACACACCAACAGATGTCTGGAGATACTGAACAGCACTCTATGACCCACCGCGCAACCGCCATCCGGGTCACACTTATTATCGGTATCTCCTTTAGCACATCCACTGCTCTGGTGAGGTTCAGTGACACCAGGCGTATCATACGGGAATACGTTCACTCCACCGTGCTGAGTGTGGACAGCCACACCAACGACAACGGTACTTTGTCTTATGACCTCGTCGGCTACACCTACGTACCGCAGGGCCCGAAGTCCTCGCTCACTGCAATTGACCAGACGTGTTGGTAATACGTGAATCAGAATGTCAGCTGGTCATAGATGGTGATTAATACGCAAGTATACAACTCTTCATAGCCTCTTGTAGTAAACCATTAAACCCTAGGTACAGACCCTTCCAACCAAAGCAATTTATGAAGATAGCTGGCCAACTCAAAATATAGCCAGTATGTATACAACTTGTTAACATTTTGTCATAGCTCTATTCCGCGTCAGTGATTCCACAGCCACTACGACTTCTGACATAGTGCACAACGACAACTGAAAGTCACATATTTGCCCTAAGTTTCCAGTGCGCGGCTTTGTCGTTATTTCGTAAGCACATGGTGACAGGTTTCTGGATTTACACAGATAGCCGTGCCTTTTTCCTAACAGTTCTAGAGCGGCCATAGAAGATACACCAATATTATACATACATGCTCGAAGAATTGTCAGTTATGATATGAAAGTCTAATCCTCTAGTATTTAAATACAAGTGATAAGACGGCCAATTGTAATCATATAAACTGACAGTGATCTCGCGTCCGATCTGTAACTCAAGACTGACGAAATATATTAGCACAATTTACAGTCTACAAGCGGTGCACAAGCCACACAGACAATGCACAGAACACAGAACGAGCTGGCAATCGCAAGTCTCCTACAGCAATACACTTACCAGATCGTGACGTTCAAATTATAGCCTGTTCGTCGTGCTTTTGGATTAGAAGCTGCTTTTTCGTGAACCTCGATCGACACAGGTGTGTTTTTGGTGTCGTCTTCAAGTGACTGTTGCAGCGATAGCGCAGTGCATAGGCCCACTGGCCCACTACCGACAATAACCACTGTCATCTTGATACTGTGTATGGCTTAACTCGAATATGCTTACAGAGATATAATACATGTCCGTATAGCGTATAAAAACGAGAGGGTACACACACGCCCAAATATAATTTCTATACATGTACATATGTATATATAAAATATAATAAAAGCACGAGCATCCTAGTTCCTCCGCCTTCCACCTCAATTGTGACTTGTGTTGTTGGTGTGTAAAATAGGAAATTCTGATGATAGACTGTGATGTCAAAGATGCTTGACACATTATTATGACACCTTGTGAAAAATATCTAAAATATAAATGCGTACTTGAGACAATGAAACACGTATGTGTTTGTGATAAAAAAATAAATACACATTCAACGTGCGAAAGAATCTGAAAGCGTCTGACGCGACCCTATACAGTATACAGCACATAAGCGGCTCAAGCTCTAGTTATTGGACATAGAATAGTACGGACTTCACAGTGTCCTCCCCACTCTGTTTTCAATATTACATCATGCTCTTTCTCTGCTACTTCAAAGGCATGGCTGGCACCTTGTCGATTGGCAAACACCCAATACAGATATAGATATCCCATGTGTACACAGCAGCTCTTCTCCCTGATGACCAGTGTTATGTGCTAAAATTTGAAGCACTCCAGTTATATTTATAATTTATTAAACTAAATACTTATTTACAAATCGTGTGCGTGTAACTCAGGTCCTTTCACCTCATGCCACAGATGGACTCGCAGGGGGTGTTCGCACTCCCTAGCAGAGATTCGATTTATTGTCTATCGCGACCCTTGCGTCCCTGTTTCTTCTTCTCGTTTCTATTCTTATTCTTCACATTCGCATCGGAGTAGTAGTTGCTGGCCTTCTTCTTCGTGGTCGAAACTCGTTTAGCCTTATTAGCAACAGCCGAAACTTCATCATCGGTTTTTGAGACAGTGAACTTATTTTTCTTCGCAGTTTTGCGTTTGTCGACTACCTTTGTTGCAGCGTTCGCCCCATCCGCCACCACCACCTCGTCGGCGGCTAATTTTCGTTTTCTGAACAAAGCAACGATGATGTGATTTAGAATAGCTCTTACAGTAACAAATAAGTACGTGTCTACCAAATAGTCATTTTAGATGCGTATCGTTTCGGGCCTGTCTCTCAGATTTGAACAGACGCCCATCTTTCAACAAACTACACAATACATTCACGGTATTTTTTATCACTGATAGAGGGAATCTACACCATAACAATAAGACATGGAAGATACCTAACCCACGCAGGATTTTCGTAAGTCAAGCATACAGCAGATTCGGCTAGAATGTACACAACAAAATGATATTAGCCATTCCCACAGAGTTGCGCACGCACGATAGAGGCACAACACTCACCTTGATGTAGTTGGTTCTTCTATAGCCTCAACTTCATCGGCGGTTTCCAGAGCCATAACCTTGGCTCTCATGATATCGCCTTCCACAACATCGTTATCAGTGATTGCCGTCGCTTCAGTAGTAGTGAACACGTCGACCTGCAAAGTTTAATCAATAACCGTGAGTGGGAAAGTCTGGGTAAGCTACGCATGCACAAGCGCTCTATACGATACAGCACAGATGTTCAAGTATGTGAACGTCTTGCTTTAATTTCATTACGCCCTACAGTGAAGCAGCTGCGGCACATAAAATTCATTATTGCGTGTCTGCTCACCCCGCGTGACTGTTCATATAGCAAGACTACATACCCTTCACTAAACATAACCATTGCAGTGCTACCGTGCATTGCTAATTCACTAAACGTTCAGGTATGAGGTTGCAATAAGATTACGAAAACACACAGACATGTGATAACGTTATGGAAAATGTACATGAACCCCGATATGGCCCACTCAGCACAAACACAACTGATGAATTTCACTCGATATTAAGTGCATATGCAATTTGCACCACGTCATACACTTGCAAAAGCTCAATTTGCTATTGTGCACACACTCGAGCAAACTTTGTATGTATGCTCACCTCTTCGCCAACAGCATCAGCGAAGACATCATCCCAGTCCACATCCTCAGCATCATCATCAACTGCGTTCAAGTCGATTGCCTTAGCACCATCCTTGGGTGGCACTTCCACTTTCTCAATACCATTCTCTTCTGATTCAGACTCGTCTCCGGTTACGGACTTGACCTCAACCTCCTGTAGCTTTTCCAGCTTCTGCTTGACGCTCAGGTAGTCTGTGGCGGCCTTTTTCTTGCTCTTGACCTTCCCTGTGCGTGCCTCCTCGGCCGCTTCTGCCGCCCGTACCATAGCCTCAGTAGGTGGCACATAATGCGGCAAACGTCCTCGCTGCCAGTCGTGTAACACATTCTTGGCCACCGCTCGTAGATCGGGCTCGCCTCCGGGTAACAGACGTCCACGTTTCTTGGCCATCTGCTCCAGAAAATCCTCAGCGTGCTCCCAGGTGTCCACGCCATACGTCCGTTTGAGGTGATCTTTCTTAACACGGCCGAGAACTTCTTGGATCGAATCGTCGGGGTTCGTGATTTTTTCAATGCGCACCACACCCTTGAGGATGATGTCCGTCTCGGAATCGTTCGACGGATACACAACTCCGGGGCAATCGATGAGGTAGATTTTGCGGAACAAGGTGATGTACTGCCAAACTTTGGTTTCTCCAGGGATGGGTGCAACTTTACACACTCGCTGCTTCTTCAAAGTGTTTATAATGGAACTTTTGCCCACATTGGGGTACCCGATGAACCCTACTGAGATCTGCTTTTTTTCTTTGTGGAACTTGCCAAATTGTCGCAACAATTGGATCAATGCTCCCTTTCCGAACGGATTAGTCACACTCGCATGAAAAGCAAGTGTTGGGTACTCAGCGGAAAGCACCTTGACCCATTTCTGCGTTACCGCGGGAGGTACAAGATCACACTTGTTCAAAATAAAGACAAGCTGTTTGTGCGGTTTCTCCTTCTTCAAGAACTTCTCAATATGCTTTGTTCGTGTACCTAGCGGATTACGCGCATCCAGTACCTGCACAACAATATCTGAAGAGTCGATGACTTTGAACAACTCGCCCCAAATACGCTTAGATTGACCTTTGGTGAAAATAGTATCCATAATCTCCTCTTTGACACCCTTATTATCAACGACTACGTTGCTATCCTTAGTCACTTCGTAATTGTCTTCTTTCTCCTCTACTCCTTTTACAAGCTCATCTAAGCAGCCAGTAGCGAGTTTAGGGCGTTTTCGCTGTGCATAATTAAGGAACAGAGAAAATGTAAAATATCAATTTCAAGCTTTCACAAACGGCCTTCGATCATGCAGTCCCCGTAATCGAAACTTTGATTTACATTTTCTTCGCACACAAGGTATCGACGATTAGAGATTGGTACAAATAGAAATATCGCCGAACTTCTTATTAACTCTACCTGTGCTTTCTTTCCGAAGGTGGCATCAAACGTCTCTGTGTCCAACAGATGTGCACGTGCTTGCTTAGTAGTTTCAGTGAGCAGTGACATTGGTAGCTTGCTTTGTTTGAGCAGCATCTGATAAGGATCATTCACTTTTTCAGCCATTGCCTCTCTGAAAGCTTCCAATTGCTTTGGACCTACAACTCGCGTATTGCCGAACCATCTTCTGTCAGGCTGTACACGGACTTGAGTTCCACTGCAGAATACAATCGTAAGAAGTATGCAAGTTAGGAAGAGAACATGCATTGTCCTTTCTCAATTGCAAAGTATCAACCTCCTGAATCAACAGCACATATTTGCGACCAAAGAGGCAGACGAATCTCCCTTTCTGTCCCTAAATATTTTGTACGTCGTGACTTTTTGTTTCAATAAAACACAAGAAGAACGATCGTGCTCAAGACGTTCCTCAACAACCCTTTAAGTGCGCCATGAGATAGTAGCGGGATATGGGGAGATGAAATTGTTCAGTTCTTTACTACAACTTCTGAGTCCGACAACTTTGACAGCAACACAACACCGCCCAATCTGACATCCAGGTCCAGTTTCCTTAATAGGCAACCAATTGAACAAACGCAAAATGAAAGTCGATGATAGAAAAATGCAGCAACAGTAATTGTTCAGATCGATTTTTGCAGCAAACACACCTTGGCAATGCCGACTGGAATGGAGCGGGAGTTGTTATGCGTCCTTTGGTGTCACGGATGGCTTTGCCGCCAGACTTGTACATTTTCAAGCGGTTGATAGTTGCCTTATCACGTCTGTTCTGTCCTCCTGCACCGCCCTCATTCTGCTCAAATAAAACATGTCGGCAAAGTTAGTAGATTTTTGAAAACCTGCTGGTGCGATCACAAGATATTTTTGAAGGATAGCAGCTATGACATCAACAGCAAGTAGTCTAGCGGTGATCATCGGTGCAAAATCTACCTATACGAGTAATTCCGTCTAAAAATGCATATATTTATATACATATACATACATACACACACACACATATATATATATAAAGTATATACATCCACACAAATATATATATATATATATATACAATATATGCATGTATATTATACAAATACATATATATATATAAATACACATACCCCTGTAGATATCCATATGTATACACATATACATATATGTATATATATACATACATACATATATAATACGGTATATATGTATATGTATACATATATATCATGCATGTGTGTATGTAAGTTTGTATGCATATATGCATGTATGTATGTATGTATACATTCATATATAGATATATATAAATATATAGGTATATATATATAGATATATATATATATAAATACATATACATATCGACAAATATATAATTATATCTTAAATATGTATTTATGTATGTATGTGTGTGTGTGTGTGTATATGTATATATATATATGTATATGTCTAAAAATACATATAGACATACACACATTCATACATACATACATATAAATATATACATACAAATATCAATATATATTCATGTAGATAGATAGATATATATATACGAGTATAGAAATATATATATATATATACAGACATATATACATATATGTGAATATATATTGATAAATGTACATATAAACCCACTAT